CGACTCCAGGTACCCAAAATTGTCTCCGACTCCGACTCCTCGACTCCGACTCCACAGCCCTGATTCATTCACACATGCACAATTTAGTAACTCCAAGTAGCCTCAGCATGTCTTTGGACTGTGGGGGAAAACCAGAGGAACCCCCACGATGACATGAGGTGTGAGGCAACAGTGCTAACCACTGCACCACCATGACATACGATTCCACACCTTAAAAATAGCTTTAATTTTATTAATTACTTAATACTTACATAAAACAAATAGTAACTGTTACTTTAAACCAAAGGGTAATTGTTGAATTTCCTTATATTTAACATGCAATTATTAAGGCTTATAATTAAGGAACTTTTACTCAGTAGTAGGCCTACTGCAGTTTAATTTAATTACAAAATGCGTGCGCAAAAACTTACAAAGTTATTTCAATGTCAATTCTACACAGCGTTTTTCGGTGGACGCTCCCTTCATGATGGTCAGCATTCATGCGGCATAAATTCCAGTAACACAAATGACGTAATACATTAGATTTTCTCTTTTATTATAAACAGGGATGGACATAGGGCTAACTGATATGCAAGTATCCATTCACCTTTAATAACGATACGTGCGGCAATCGAATACTGTAACAGCGCAAAAACGTATGTATTTTATGTGTATTGTGCCGATATGACAAATAAAGGTTAAAATGCACGGTAATTTCATGTCATATCGGCGCAAATGCACATAAAATATATACGTATTTGCGCTGTTTAATGGATTTCCACACGTATCCCTTGTAAAGGTGAAGGCGTACTTGCGTACCAGTTTATGTCCATCCCTATCTATAATGTTGTATGATGGACCACAGACTCTCCCAATGTACTTTATAAACCACAAAACGGGTTTGTACACAGCGCCATTTTCCATTTAAAATAACTTTATACAAAGTTTTGTAAATGCTTCACTAGAGAGCACGATATTAAGTTTTGTAAGAGACACTTAGACTTACCTCTATTTTTCCTAATGAATTTCAGTCACCGTCTGCACTCCTTTGTGACTTTACTCCTTTAGTTTTCACATTTCTGTTGGAAAATGTTTGAATCTCAAGTAACTACGTAACTATAAGTATAAAATCGGATATAGTGGGTTTTTTTTTACTTACAGTATGTTAGTGTTAAGTATTTTTAAAACCCTACAATTCATAGCATTCATTATATTTAAACAAAGTCTTAAACAGCATTCTTTAGCGTTTTGCCCGTAACTTCGATTACCGAAATCCTGTGTTATTCTGTGTTCGGCAGCCCGTCCGGGGGGCACCCCAGCTGTGTGCCCTGAGGTAACTGTTGGCTGGATAGACTGCGATGCAAATTTTTATTTCTGTAAATAAACTACAGACCGCATATGAGGGTACGGCTGGACTGAAGAATGAGCCAAAGAGTGAGCCGTATAAATACTGGAACATTGTACTTTCTGTTTCACTTTCCTAGTTTCTTTTTGACAGTATAGGCATTCAGCCATATTTCAGCCGGGGCGCCACCCTCATGAGGGAGATACAAACTGGAATCAACTGCTGTGTTTCCCAAACCTGCTAGGTGTAAGTTTTTCCTCGTGTATATTTATACCCTGTTTAGTTCTTTTTCTATCTACCTGCCTTTGTTAGATCATTCATGTTGCCTTTTGCATTTTGGTTTCTTTTCAGTTGTGTTTAAAATAATGTTCCCTGTGTTATGTGAGCCGCTACTTGAATCCCTCCATCATGCCCGCTATAAAATGAGTGGTGCCAGGACAACCTCTTACTGAGGCAAACAGTACCTGCAGGTAGGCAGTGTCTCATTTACAGAGGGATAACAGCTGTATGCCAGTCACCAACACAGACAGCCTGGGATGTCAGAGGGGAATGGATACCATAGCATATTTGGGGGTCTATTACTTGACAGAGCCCCTGAATACGTAAAATTATAGACCTATATGAAATTGTGTGGAGGGGACTGCATCCACAAACTTTAAATGCTGACTGGGAACAGCACATGTGAAGAGTCTTGTAGGATTCTGCATGCTGTTCTCAGTGTTTGCAGCTCACAGAAGGAGGACAGAGTTCTGACTGGGGATCCAATTATTTTAGAGCACACCTTGACTGTCCTCTGCAGGTGGGTTCTGTTATGCAGAGTGGTGGCATGGAACCAGCAAGTTATTCAGAATGTTATGACACTCTCAATGAAGGAGTAGTAGAAAGTCCTCAAGATGTTCTTGTTGACTCCAAAGCTGCTAAGTTTTTGCTGCTGGCATCTCCTTAGAATCTCCTCAGTGTTGGAGGCAAACCTGAGCATACTATCAAAGATAGTGCCCAGATATCTGTACTCCTCCACAAGCTCCACAGTCTTCCCATGGATTGTGCTGGTGTCTGCTGCTAGTTCCCTCTGCTTGTCGGAAAAAGTCACTAACATCTCTTTTGTCTTCTCCACGTTCAGCTCTAGTGAAGTGTGGTCACACCACTCCACAAACCTGTGGAGCATTCCGTTGTGATGGTGAGAAGGGCTAGAGAGCAGAGAAAGAAGAACAGTGTCATCCGCATACTTATATTTCAGTCAGGGTGCGAAGACCTGCAGTCATCTGTGTAGAGGATGAAGAGCAGAGGTGAGAGGACACAGCCTTGAGGAGAGCCAGTGGAGGAGAAGGAGAGGTCAGAGAAGATGTTGTTAACCAGCACTCTCTGTGTTCTGTTGGTTAAAAAATCTAGGATCCACAGCATTAGCTGGTCATCCAGGTGGAAGCGGGTGGATAGTTTCTCTGCAAGGATATGTGGCTGCATAGTATTGAATGCTGATGAAAAGTCAGCAAACAGAAGTCTAGCTGAGGTGTTGGGATGTTTAAGGTGACTGTGTATGGTGTCCATGATGAATAATTTTGCGTCATCAACCCCTCTACCTGCCTGGTATGCAAACTGGAGAGGGTCCGTGTCCGTCAGAGCATTAGTCACCTTGATGATGTGCTTCTTTATGACCCTCTCCATGGTCTTCATCACAATTGAGGTCAGAGCCACAGGCCTAAGGTCATTCAGAGCCTTGACTGAGCTCTTCTTGGGGATGGAGACCACCGTGGAGTGCTTCCATAATGGGAACTGTTCAGCTCTCAACTGATCTTTGAAACAGAAGCTGAAACACACCCCCTAGCTGCTCTGTGCAATGACGTACTGTAGAACACGGCCACTAATATTGTCTGGGCCAGGTGCTGTGTTCTCCTTGGTCTTCTTGACGGCTCTCACAACCTCCTCAATGGTGAAGGTGAGATCTGTTCCAGTTTTAGTTTTAAAAACTTTAACGCTCTGGAGTCGACGGCATCATCGGCGATGCCGAGTTTCTATCTCGTGTATTTCAGTTCATAACTCGCTGAAATCTTATTATAGAAACATGAAAAAAACACTGACTAAATCCGTAATCGGTCTTTTTTTCAAAATGTCCATTGTCGGAAGTATTAAAGTTTTTTAAATTAGGTTAAATAGGCAAAAAAGTAAACCATGTCACCTTACTTTGTTTTACCTGCATTGGGGGCGTGTAGTACCGCTCTCACCCGAAGATCGCTATTCACATTCTAAATAGGTGCATTAGCGTGTATTCAAATCGCATTCGCATGGTAATTTGATAAACAGCGCAACAGTGAAACGCGATCCAGATACATCCCCGTTAGCGCCATAAAAGGGGGGTAGGGATGTGGCCAGGTGACAATGGCTCATTCATACACAGGAAAGTTGCTACATATTCAATTAAAGGAGCCAGAAATAGTGACATGAGTTCAGTTTTTCTTATTTATTTATCCTACTGAATGTTGCAACTACACCATTTTGTCATATTCATGTAGCCAAGACTTTGCTGATCAGATATCTGGGATCAAAACAAACTGCCACCATTGCTTACTATGTGTCACACCTCGATCGTGCCGATCTCCTGTGCCACGCCCCCCTCGTTAACCTCCTGTCGATTCCCAGTGTTTTACAGCTGTTTCCAATTGTCTGTATTAGTTCGGTGTATTTAAGTCTACGTCAGAGTTTGTTTCCCTAGTTCTGTCATTGCATTGTCGTGTCGTGCCTTGTTGCCCTGTTATGCCCCTTCATCTTCCTATTAAATCCTTTTATTTTACCCGTATCTTGATCTCCGTCGCCTGTTTCCCTGGTCCGTGTGCCACGAGACATGACACTATGTACTTTTATAATGTGTCTGCAATTGTTCCAAGCTGCATTTTGCAATGTCTATACTGTAGCGTTTTCTGGGTTCTTCGCCACAAGGGAGAAATGGAGACAACGCGAAGAACTTTGCTCAAACAGGAGAGAAGCCTCCGAGGTTTATTTCTTCAATAAAGAACAGAGTAAAAGCACAGCCAAGGAAAGCAAGGGCTAACTCTGCCATAAGCTCACTTACTCTCTTCCACACACACAAAAACCCCGCCCAGGTACACAGGACTACCGAGGATCTCCTCCACGGTAGCCTGTGCACATTTACACAAA